CATCACCGACTCGATGGGCATGAGTTTGAGTAAACTCCGGGAGTTTGTGATGGACAGGGAGGCCTGGCGTGTTGCGATTCATGGGGTCGCAAAGAGTTGGACACAACTGAACGACTGAACTGAACTGAATATTTACACGGTTCATTTATGTTGTAGTGTATGTTAGAACTTCATACCTTTTTACAGACATATAATATTCTGATATATGGATAGAGCACCTTTTATTTATTCATTCATCAGCTGATAGACATTTACATTGCTACCACTTTTTGTCTGTTGTGAGTAATGCTGCTTTGAACATTTGTGTACAAGTTTTTGTGTGGTTATCTGAGGAGGCCCACAAAAAGCTGAGAAAAGAAGAGAAGCGAAAGGCAAAGGAGAAAAGGAAAAATATACACATCTAAATGCATAGTTCCAAAGACTAGCAAGGAGAGATAAGAAAGCCTTTCTAAGTGATCAATGCTAAGAAATAGAGGAAAACAATAGAATGAGAAAGACTAGAAATCTCAAGAAAGAGATACCAAGGGAACATTTCATACAAAGATGGACACAATAAAGGACAGAAACAGTATGGACCTAACAGGAGCAGACGATATTAAGAGGTGGCAAAAATACACAGAAGGACTAAACAAAAAAGATCTTAAAGATAACCATGATGGTGTGATCACTCCCCTATAGCCAGACATCCTGGAATGTGAAGTCAAGTGGGCCTTAGGAAGCATCACTACGAACAAAGCTAGTGGAGGTGANAGACATCCTGGAATGTGAAGTCAAGTGGGCCTTAGGAAGCATCACTACGAACAAAGCTAGTGGAGGTGATGGAATTCCAGCTGAGCTATTTCAAGTCCTAAAAGATGATGCAGTTAAATTCTTGCACTCAATATGTTTGGAAAACTCAGCAGTGGTGACAGAACTGAAAAAGGCCAGTTTTCACTACAATCCCAAAGAAAGGCCATGTCAAAGAATGTTCAAACTACTGCACAACTGCACTCATCACACATGCAAAGTAATGCTCAAAATTCTCCAAGCTAGGCTTCAATAGTACATGAACCAAGAGGTTCCAGATGTTCAAGCTGGATTTAGAAAAGGCAGAGGAACTAGAGATCAAATTTCTAACATCCGTTGGATCATCAAAAATCAAAAGAGTTCCAGAAAAACATCTGCTTCTGCTTTATTGACTATGCCAAAGCCTTTGACTGTGTGGATCACAACAAACCATGGAAATTTCTTAAGGAGATTGACCAGACCACCTTACCTGCCTCCTGAGAAACCTGTATGCAGGTCAAGAAGCAACATTTAGAACTGGACATGAAACAACAGACTGATTCAAAATTGGGAAACAAGTACGTCAAGGCTGTATATTGTTATCCTGCTTATTTAACTTATATGCAGAGTACATCATGCAAAATGCCAGGATGGATGAAGCACAAGCTGGAATCAAGATTACGGGAGAAATCTCAATAACCTCAGATATGCAGAAGACACCACCCTATGGCAGAAAGTGAAGAGGAACTAAAAAGCCTCTTGACGAAAGTGAAAGAGGAGAATGAAGAAGCTGGCTTAAAGCTCAACATTCAGAAAACTAAGATCATGACATCTGGTCCCATCTCTTCATGGGAAGTAGATGAGGAAACAGTGGAAACAGTGGCTGACTTTACTTTTTTGGGCTCCAAAACCACTGCAGATGGTGACTGCGACCATGAAATTAAAAGACACTTGCTCCTTGGAAGAAAAGCTATGACAAACCTAGACAGTGTATTAAAAAGCAAAGATATTACTTTGCTGACAAAGGCCCATATAGTCAAAGCTATGGTTTTTCCAGTAGTCATGTATGGATGTGAGAGTTGAACCATAAAGAAGGCTAATCACTGAAGAACTGATGCTTTTGAACTGTGGTGTTGGAGAAGACTCTTGAGAGTCCCTTGGACAGCAAAGAGATCAAATCAGTCAATCCTAAAGGAAATCAGTTCTAAATATTCATTGGAAGGACTAATGCTGAAACTGAAGCTCAATACTTTGGCCACCTGATGCGAAGAACAGACTCATTTGAAAAGACCCTGATGCTGGGATAGATTGAAGGCAGGAGGAGAAGGGGATGGCAGTGGATGAGACGGTTGGATGGCATCACCAACTCAATGGACATGAGTTTGAGCAAGCTCCGGGAGATGGTGAAGGACAGGGAAACCTGGCGTGCTGCTATCCATGGACTCACAAAGAATTGGACATGACTGAGCAACTGATCAATATTTACTATCTCTTGGGCACATACTGAGGAATGAAATTGCTGAGGCATATGGTAACTCTAGGCTTAATATTTTGAGGAATTCCCAGACTGTATTCCATGGTGGCTACAACATTTTACATTCCCACCAGCAGTGTATGAAGGTTCAATTTCTCCACATCCTGTCCCACACTTCTAATTGATAGTCTTTTTGGTTACAGCCATCCTAGTGAGAATGAAGTGTTATCTCATTGTGGTTCTAATTTAATTTTTTCTGATGGCATTGAACATATTTCCATATGCTTATGGCCATTTGTATATTATTTTGGAGAAATGTCTGTTTAGATCCTTCATCCATTTTTAAGTTGGTCTATTTGTCTTTTTAATGTTGAGATGTGAGAGTTCTTTATTTTGGATACAATTCCCTTATCAGATCTATGATTTGCAAATACTCAGGAGTTGTTTTTTCACTTTCTCCATGGTGCCCTTTACAGCAAAAAAGCTTTTGATTTTGATAAAGTCCAATGTATCTACTTTTTCTTCTGTAGGTTTTGTTTTTGGTATGATATGGAATAAAGCATTGCTTAAATCAAGGTCATGATGATTTGAGCCTATGTTTTCTCACCCAGGTTTTATAGTTTTAAGTTTTACAATTAGGTCTTTAATCCATTTTGACTTAATTTTTGTAAATGTGTGAATTAGGGGCCTTGCCTTAAGAAAGATAAAAGGGCAGAAGTTGAGAGAATTGAGAATTAGATAAAACCATCCACTCCCTATGGTAATGGTTGTGGTCTAGTCCAGACTACATGCAAGATTCACATATGCATGTAGCTAATTTTTTCTGCCTATACCAAGCCATTCATTCTTACCCTCTTTCTGCGAAGAAGGGGAGCAGTTTGGATGTAACACAGAATAGCAAGTAGGATATATTTTCTTCAAGGATCATGGGAAATCAGTGGTGGAGCCAAAATCAGGCAAAGATCATTGACTTTCAGGCCTCAGTCCCACCTTGTGGCAAGAATACCCCTACCATCTGATTTCCTTCCTTCAATTTAATATCAAGACCCTCTAGTTTGCAACCCACCAGAGATTATATTTCTCAGCCTTCGTTTAGCTAGGTGTGGCCATGTGACTAGTGTTAGCTAACAGAATGCCAGATAAGGCGATCTACTTCTGGGTTATATTTTTTTAAAAAAGAACTGTCTTGCCCTCTACTTCCTCTCTCTTCTCATCTTTTCAGGTCAGACCTCAGACATGGTGCTAGTACACTATTTTTAATCACATGGTTGAAGAATACATACCAGGACAGTTGGTTCTCAACTGTGAATTATCTGGGGAGCTCTAATAAAAAGCTTGTGTTTGGACCCCATCCCAGAGATTCTAAAGCTCAGATAGTAAAGCGTCTGCCTACAATGCAGCAGACCCGGGTTCAATCCCTGGGTTGGGAAGTTCTCCTGCAGAAGGAAATGGCAACCCACTCCAGTATTCTTGCCTGGAAAATCCCATGGACGGAGGAGCCTGGGAGGCTACAGTCCATGGGATCGCAAACAGTTAGACATGACAGAGCGATTTCACTTTCACTTTCCAGAGATTCTGATGTAGTTGGTTGAAGATGCTACCTCGGCATCACGATGTTAAAAGCTTCCCAGATGAATCTAGTACTTGGCCAAGTTTAAAACCTTTATCACAGGGCAGTGGTCTGTAAACTTTAGCATGCATCAGCAACAACTGGAGGACCCATCAAAACTCAATTTTTCTGAGGCACCACTCTTAGGTGTTTGATTAGGCCTACCTGGGATAAAACCCAAGAATTTGTATTTTTGACAAGTTCCCAGGTAATGCTGCTGGACTGGACATACTTTAGGAACCTATAGAGATTTCAAAGCGGCACGACAGACGGAAGCTGAGTCCCAGTAGCAGGATGGTCTGTTTTCCCTAAACCACTTGCCTCCCCTATACTATTATTTGAAAAAGAAATGTTTATTCTGAACCACAATAGCAGCTTAGCCTGTATCCTAACTAATACATATACCTTGGATCACAGTGATTCAACAGGAAGGAAAATAAAGGCATAGCATTTTTTTCTCATTTCATGCAGATCCACCCATGCAACTGAAATCCTCGAGGCTTTAGAGAGATTTTCCTATGTGAGAAGGATGGCTTGCAACACTGCACTGTTTACAACAGAATCTGTTTTTTTGTGTGTGTGTGGTTAATTGGTGAATACAATCCAGAATTCTATTCTGGCAGCACTGTTGAGGCTGGAAGGATTATGATCCAAGTAGGTAGTTAAGTTACTTTCCCCATTTAAGTCCCAGTCATAGGTGGGTGACCCAAGCATTCCATGCAAATCTCCTTGTGTCCAAACCACAGCAACAATTTTGAAAGAGGTAGAAAATCTTTCTAAATAGCACAGAGGTTGTAGATCCATTTTTTTCTCTCTCCTCCCCTGTTCATGCACTAATACAAAGGGGACCTACAGCGCTCCATCTCTTTCTACTTAATTTTCTTAAGAAGACCTTGGCTGTTTATGGCGCCAACCTGAATACCAACTAATGACACCAACTAAAGAGGCTTGGGCGTTTGTTGGGCCAAGAGTGAAGCTGGTAGGAGCTCACCTACTGGGAAATGTTTCAATCCCAAGCTCTTTCTGGTAGAACTCTTTGCTGGTACATAATTATTTCCTGAAAATTCATAGTATTAAAAGGGGGTGGTCGGTGGGATCGGATGGCTGCAAAATAGAAACCCTTGAGTAGAGAAAAGGAAGGAACTCACATACCTTACAAACTGGCTGAATAAGGCGGTCGTGTTCCGGATGATCCGAGCAGCCTGGGACTCCTCACGCTGGCATCGCTGCAGTGTTAACCCATCATCCATGTGGCCTTCCTGATGGAGTATCACCTATCCCAGGGCCAAGGACACCAGGGCCAGGTTACATTGGACAGTCAATGTTTTTTGCAGTATTTTCCTCATCCCTTGTATTCCTTCAATGGACCAAGTTCCCCTGTGTTCATTTTGAAAGTGGGACATTAACAAAGTTATTTTGCCCATACACCCAATTACTGACATATGATTCATTCCTGAGACACAGTGCTTTGATGAAAACAAAATTTTATGTGCCACTCTGGTTTGAGGTACAATAAATTCCTTGGGCCTGGATGGCCAATTTGAATGGGTGAAAACAAGTTTTATGATAGATTTTTTTCTCTTAAAAAGAACACAAAAACTTATCTCTGGAAATGAGAAAAATCACTAAGTTCAGAGCCTTTTTTCTCCAGAGATAAAGCAAGGAAATAGAAAGATAAGTTAAAGTAAAATCCTCTAAAACTTTCTACTGGGATGAGGTGTGACTTTCTCCCCCGAAGGATGGCTACACTGGGTTGGTTGACTGGAACCAGGGAAGCAGCTTGAGACCGTAGTCTGCTTCTCATGGATCTAGAGACGGGGGTTGAAAACATGGGCTGAGGTACCAGCCAACCTGACTTCTAACTCTTCTAGGTCACTTCTTAGCAGTGTGACTTTCAGCAAATTATTTAACCTCTCTCTGCTCTGACTTCACCATCTGCAGGTGGACTTATTTTAGTGGTTTGTTTGGAAGACTAGATGATTTACATGTCAGTCATTTAGCATGTTACCTACAATATAAAAGGTATTCAATGAATATTTGTTATAAGGGACAGCATATTACAGATCTCAGATCAGTTGTTAGGAAGTTAAGTACACTTATTGCCCACCAATGACATCATGATACATTTTTTTTTTTTTAAATGGGGCTAGCAGCTTTTGGTGTGGAGGTCAGTGCTTTTTTTCCTCTTGAAAGGGCCAACCAAATATGTGTGGTTATTAACTGGGATGGTTTGACCCTGATTCAGGTCAGGGTCAAATTCTGATTCAACTTCCTGGCATGGTTTCCGCTTGATGTAAGTAAGTGAACGGGGACCATCTGTAGGTCCTAGGGAGGTGGGGTGGGAGTCAGTCAGTAAATATGTCAATTAAACAAAACATGTGGCTCCAAAAAATATCTTGAGAATAAGGATTTTTGGTATCTCTCATTTTTAGCACAAATAAACAACCTATTTCCTCCTTTCCAGGTGAAAATCTCTCATTTTGTATTCTTCTGAAAATGCACCCTGATTTAATGAATTCACCCAGGAAGAAGCATGCTGGCTTGCATAAATTTATGTTCATTTTTGAAGAGACCTGCATCTCATCTATATACTGTAGCTTAAGCATTAGCAAAGGATGCCCTTACTATTGGATTTCACCAACTCTTTCAAAACATTACTTTGAGATTCCCAGCAACTGCTTATCAATGTTGCATTTAGATTTGGCAATACATCTCACTAGGTTTACTCTGGCCTTAGTCCCAGCTTTTGGGTCCCTAAAGACCCACCTCCTTATGTTTTGCTCGTTCAGATAACACATTCAAACCGGCCAGTCAAACAAGAATGTAATGAGAAATGGGGGAAATGCAGCTGTTAGAACGTTGTTATTATGTGTCCTATTGATCGCTGCAGCTCAGGTCCTAAGCTCCTTTTTTTCCTGGAGGAATTCCATAACTGACATCAGAAAGCAGAAGCTGAAGATGGTAATGGAAAGAGAGTGCTTCCTTAAAGGTGAGTTACCATTCATCAGGTTTCTCACTATGTCTATTTCCCACTGGTTTTTCTAAATTCCTATTTTGTTTCACAAAACAATTAACAAGATTGGACATCCTTTGTATTTTTAGAGGAGAGCTTAACTTGTTCTTCAGGAAATGGAGCTGGGAAGCCCTGACAAAGGCTTAGCATTATGGCATCATTTAGAGAGAGTTTCTGAAAGCATTTCCCAAATCCACATTCCAGCAGTTAAACGGACTTATGGACTATGGTCCCAGAAGAAAAAGGCAGGGACAGGCACAATAAACCAACATCATAAACTGGGGTCTCCCCTAGTTGACAGGGTCCTTCAAGGATGTCCCCACCTACCCAGAGTTAGAGCCCAGATCTACAAATTCTACTCTATTTCAATATTATCTTTATCTTAGTAGCTGTGGAAAACTGTGGAAACTCTAGATGATATTATCACACTCTTCAGAGGATTGCATTTTCTCCTGATAGGTTGTTAGGGGAGATGATCAGATTTTGGCAGCTATTTTCCATTCGCCCTTACTCCTGGGGTAGAGCCCTTATTTGGAATTCAATTGAAAGTCTACTGTATGTTTAAGGCCATTCCAGCCCAAGGGACTTTGCACCCCAACCTCTGTGTGCCTAGTACTGTCACACTGTTCACATCTCTGCTTCGCTGTTCTCCACCACAGAGAAATATCATTTTCTGTTTGCCATCTTAGCTTTATACCCTATTCATGGTCAGCTTAAGATACTAGGAGAAACTGCATTTAGAATTTCAAGTTCATGCTTCTACAGCTTCCTCCACTCTGGAATATGGTCCCTTAAGTCCCAGAAACCTCGGCTGACCTTACCACAATTATGGCTCTCCAACCCATAGAACTAACAGGCGATCCCATTCCTCATGTGAGAACTCAGCAAGACACTGAGGCCAAAGTGGCAATAGAGCAGGAACTCACTTTAGTGCACTTCCATTCTAGTGGGATCTTCAGCACTCACGTCCTGGGTGCCTTGCTGTTGAAATCTTCAGATGGTTTATTTGTTTCCATGTTCAGTCCAGCCTCTACAATTGTTGGCAGAGGAAGGGCTGGGCTCATACAAGCAGTCTTTGTGGCCTCGTATTCTATTTTCTACCAGAGAGTCTCTGTGGCCTCGTATTCTGTTTTCTATCTCCTTTTCATAATTGTCCCTTTTCCTTGTAAATTTTACTTTGCACAAAAATAAGCTATTACCTTATGGGTTCCCCCCAACCTACTTTCTTACAATAATCAGCATTCTGGGAAATTTTTCATCACCTCCATAGTAAGCTGACCTACACAAACTACAGTGTACAATGTTTCCTAGAACCTTATCAAGGGACTCCTTGACTATCCAGACCTGTGTTTTGTAAGGGCTTTTTTTTTTTTTTTTTTTTTAAAGCATGCCTTGAACATCTATTTCCTGGTTCCTATCAAAAGAAACCCTATTATGGCAGTTGACTTTCTGGAAAAAAAAAAGATGTTCTGTGTATTCAAGCCAGATTTCCCACTGTCACAGGCTGTAACAGGTCACTGAGATCTGGATCCATTCTCTGTGGATATAGTATCATTCAACACTATCTCATCTTTCTGCATGTTGGTTCCTGTGTGCTTGTTATCATGCAATCTGCATCTCTCTGTAGGGATTCTATTTAGTCTGTTTATTATGAAAACTGCATAGTAACTCAATTATCCACTTAAATGAAAGGAGCAATGATGTGGATAATCCCCAAACAGCATACCACTAAAAGTCATTTAGTACAGGTTTTAGAGCACAAGGAACATATTCTATCCCCTCTTCACAGATTTGTCATCTATTTAACTTTTTCTTTTCCACACTGAATATGAAGTCAGAGTAACCACACTAGGCTACACACTCTGTCACAGAAATAATCCTTCAGAATAGTAAGAATTTTTGTTTAGTTGTTGTGTCCAACTCTTTTTGGACCCCTTGGACTTGTAGCCTGCCAGTCCCTTCTGTCCATGGAATTCTAGAGGCAAAAATACTGGAATGGGTTGTCATTTCCTTCTCCAGGGGATCTTCCTGACCTAGGAATCGAACTCACACCTGCACTAGAAGGCTGATTCTTTGCCACTGAGCCATCTGGGAAGCTAAGAAGTAAAAATCCATCATGCCCACCTTATTCCCACAATCACTTCTCATGCCTAGTTGCTTCCAGCCTTTCTGATCCCTTACCTTTCTTTTCAGAGGTCCCAGGCGGGATGTCTTGGCATCTTGTGCTTTGTAGGTCACCCACAGACCACTGGCTATATGTTGGACAAAGCAGACAGAGTCTCCATACTTGATTTCTGGGACTCCCATGCCTTCTATATCTCGCTTGTGACTGGAATCCAATTTCTCCTTGATTTCCTATTTCACAGAAAATGAAACAAACGTAGGCATGTCTGATTAAATAGAAATGCAATGTATAAAACAGGTCACTGGTGCAGAATTTGTAAGCCAAGGAACCGATTACCAGGATAATCATGATGTGCCTGTCCAAGCCAGGATTTTAGAAAGGCTTGCTTCCCTTATTTGCTGCTAATTGTAAAATCAATGGATTTCATGTTTTGGCTATGTTAGTGATTATTTATATCCATGGGAAATGGAGGCAGCCTATAGGGTCTCTCTTTGGTTCTGGTTTTATATAATTTTCCACTATGTTTTTCACTTTTCTTTATCCTGACTTAGGTACCTTAATGAAAGTGAAAGTAAAGTGAAAGTGAAGTTGCTCAGTCGTGTCCGACTCTCTGCGACCCTGTGGACCGTAGCCTACCAGGCTCCTCCATCCATGGGATTCTCCAGGCAAGAATACTGGAGTGGGTTACCATTTCCTTCTCCAGGGGATCATCCCAACCCAGGGATCGAACCCGGGTCTCCTGCATTGGAGGCAGATGCTTTAACCTCTGAGCCACCAGGGAAGCCCAGATACCTTAATAACTCACTGTTAATAGCCAAATAACTTATTTTCAGCAAGTTGTACCTTCTATGATTTTAATAGTTATCTTATATGAAAGCCTTCATTTGGGGCTTTAAATACATCTGTTAAAATCATAAAAATATCTTTTATGGAAATCAGCAGAGGAAACAGACTCTTGCAGCAGGTAGAGGGCTACTATGCCTTAAGTCTAATGCAGTAATTGTTGTATTAGCTTCCTTTATATTTTTAGTTTCTTTTTTAAAAAATACTTATTTATTTGGCTGTGCTGGGTCTTAGTTGCACATGTGGGATCTTTGATCTTCGTTGGGGCATATGGGATCTAGCCCCCTGACCAGGGATTGAACCCGGGGCTTCCTGCATTGGGAGCATGGAGTCTTAGCCACTGATCTACCAGGGAAGCCCAGTGTTAGTTCCTTATGGCCTCCTCAGCTGTGTGTTGCAGTCAGTGGGTTTCATTCTTCAATTGCCACTGTTTCACAAAACTCACTGCTAGTATGGGAAAGGGAATTTCTGTGTACCGGCTGTGTATCCTCCCTTTGTGTATCAAGTATCCATTGTTTCATAGAATAAATCTTGTTGACCACTTCCCTAGGGAGAAATTTAGGGCACAACCTAAGACGCCTATCACAGTGAGTCAAGTAAGTAGTCTAGCAACTCTGTCTCCCTCCTCATTAATCAGGGCCTCTGAATGGCCCTATCCTATTTCCATTTCTCCTCTACATCTTGCGTTAAATTGCTCATTTGTAAAAGCCATTAGCTAGGCACATTTTAAATTTTTCACGGAATAAAAATGCAGCATGCTGTTTCCTCTGCCTGTGCCAACCTTACGCTCATTCTTAATGATGGAACGACAGGAGCACAGGCATTGAGCTCTTGCCATGTGCAAGGCAGGGCTCTAAGTTTGTTACATATGCCAGCTCTTCATAATGGCCTCTGATGTAGCTACAGATATTCCAGTTTTACAGAGGGGAAAATGAAGGAACAGAGAAACAAAGAGCTTATCCACAGTCACTCAAGAAGTAGTGAAAGAGGAAGAGTTAAAACAGGAAGTCTGATTCCAGAGACTATGCTCTTCCCAAGTCCCCAAACTCCTTTACACCCTTGAATACCCTGCTGAGGTGTTACCTTCTTTGTGAAGGCAGAGTTAGTCTCTCCTACTGTATTTCTCCAGCATAGTCCCATCCCTCTATTGAGTACTTAACAAACCATAATGTAGATATGCTCTTTTATATGATGTTTTCCTTTTGCCAGGCTATGAGAATGAAGGATTTGGGCCAGATGATTGTTAGTCTTGGATTCCTAATACAGAGCTGCAGTCCATGGGGGTCACAAAGAGTCAGACAGGACTTAGCAATGGAACAATAATGCAGAGAATCCACACCTATCAATTATTTAACAAACATATGTTGAAGGAACAAATGTATACAACTGAGTCATTTTTCTTTCAAATGTATATTTTTTCATTTCGGCTCTTATTTCTTTCCTTCAAACTCTCAAGCAAAATTAGTTATTTTGCACACATTTATAGGATCATTTTGAGCAATATTAATACACTGCAAGAACGTTCTTATTTTAAGCATATGTTGAAACACTGGTTGGATTGTTCAAGATGACATTTCTCAAAATGAACATTTCCAAAGGAAAATATTTCTGATTTTATAACAAAGTCGATGGGAAAACAGAACTTGATATTTAAGGATTTATCCACAGGCAAGTGGTCAAGAATGCATTTATTCTATAAAATAATGGATACTTCATTTTCATTTCAAAAATATCCATAGCAGTATAGACACTCAAACCAATAGATATAATTAAAATATGCCAAAGGTTTCATCTCTATCTTATTCTCTAACCAAAGACAATGCAGCAAAATAAAAATATTTATACACTACAACAGTTAAGTATGAATAATTACGGTGATTACCAAGAGCTCATAGTTAAAATAGCACATATTCCCGAATGATGAGTGATTATGATCATTTCACTTGTTTTATCACTTTTCATTGATTTAAATATGACTTTGCCAAAATAAATACTAAGATTTTTTAGAGTCTCTAAAATAAACAGATCATTATTGATAATAGAATAGACTGTCTCTCTGTGTCTTTGCTTTTGCAAAACAGCATCAACTCCCAAAGTTCTATGGCCAGCATTGTTGGGACAGCTTCTAATTTAAAGAAAAACAGGAGCAACAAAAATGAAAACCAAAGTATACAAACAAACCAACACTGAAGCCAACTCTACCCAAAACTACACAACAATGACACAGTTTCAAGAAATGAGAGCATCCTGAGACACAGAAGCTGGACTTGGCTGATCACAGGTGGGTGAGCTTCTGACTTAAGTCATGAACGCATGTTCTACCCTCTGTCTTCATTTGAATGTGGCCCAGATGTATTTACTCTATGGCTGGAACCTTCCTCTATGGAATCTTCCTATGGGAACCTTCCCATATGATAGGGGTCTTTTGATCACTCCCTTTCAGTAACTCCCCAATTCCTACAGAACACAATTCTCATCTCTAAAGTTCTTATATGCCACATACTTTAGCCAAACTGGATTATGTTTGTGTGTTATATCAAGTATTCCCTCCGTCAGGGCCTTTACTGACATTACTCTCCTTGCTCGGAATGCCTCTACTTCATCTCTGCATTTTTACATCTCATCCATCAGCCTTTCCCAGATCCAACTGTGCGTGTCCTTTAATTTCATGGCACCTCCCTTACTCTCTCTCAAGGCTCTTTACCATCTTCTGTGGTAGGAGTCTTTTGCTGGTAGACTTCCTGTCCCCTGCCTGGTTGGAAATCCTCCAAGGGCAAGACTGAGGTTTGTTGGTCTTTACATTACACACTAAGCTCTGCTAGGCTGCAAATAATTTGTTTTTGTTTTATTGGTCAGTGGGCATCAATTTATCTGTGTATCTGCATCAACCTTCCATATCTTAGATGATGAGCAGATTCTAAGAAGGAACAGGTTACTTGGCCCTAACCATGTGTTGAAGAGGAATAATCATCACTATCCCTTGTCTCCACTGAGAGTTTATAAGGAAATGGTTGTGACCACATAACAATTGTCACATAAACACGTATTTAGATGATACAAAATTAGTTATTTTGCACACATTTATAGGATCATTTTGAGCAATATTAATACACTGCAAGAACGTTCTTATTTTAAGCATATGTTGAAACACTGGTTGGATTGTTCAAGATGACATTTCTCAAAATGAACATTTCCAAAGGAAAATATTTCTGATTTTATAACAAAGTCGATGGGAAAACAGAACTTGATATTTAAGGATTTATCCACAGGCAAGTGGTCAAGAATGCATTTATTCTATAAAATAATGGATACTTCATTTTCATTTCAAAAATATCCATAGCAGTATAGACACTCAAACCAATAGATATAATTAAAATATGCCAAAGGTTTCATCTTTATCTTATTCTCTAACCAAAGACAATGCAGCAAAATAAAAATATTTATACACTACAACAGTTAAGTATGAATAATTATGGTGATTACCAAGAGCTCATAGTTAAAATAGCACATATTCCCGAATGATGAGTGATTATGATCATTTCACTTGTTTTATCACTTTTCATTGATTTAAATATGACTTTGCCAAAATAAATACTAAGATTTTTTAGAGTCTCTAAAATAAACAGATCATTATTGATAATAGAATAGACTGTCTCTCTGTGTCTTTGCTTTTGCAAAACAGCATCAACTCCCAAAGTTCTATGGCCAGCATTGTTGGGACAGCTTCTAATTTAAAGAAAAACAGGAGCAACAAAAATGAAAACCAAAGTATACAAACAAACCAACACTGAAGCCAACTCTACCCAAAACTACACAACAATGACACAGTTTCAAGAAATGAGAGCATCCTGAGACACAGAAGCTGGACTTGGCTGATCACAGGTGGGTGAGCTTCTGACTTAAGTCATGAACGCATGTTCTACCCTCTGTCTTCATTTGAATGTGGCCCAGATGTATTTACTCTATGGCTGGAACCTTCCTCTATGGAATCTTCCTATGGGAACCTTCCCATATGATAGGGGTCTTTTGATCACTCCCTTTCAGTAACTCCCCAATTCCTACAGAACACAATTCTCATCTCTAAAGTTCTTATATGCCACATACTTTAGCCAAACTGGATTATGTTTGTGTGTTATATCAAGTATTCCCTCCGTCAGGGCCTTTACTGACATTACTCTCCTTGCTCGGAATGCCTCTACTTCATCTCTGCATTTTTACATCTCATCCATCAGCCTTTCCCAGATCCAACTGTGCGTGTCCTTTAATTTCATGGCACCTCCCTTACTCTCTCTCAAGGCTCTTTACCATCTTCTGTGGTAGGAGTCTTTTGCTGGTAGACTTCCTGTCCCCTGCCTGGTTGGAAATCCTCCAAGGGCAAGACTGAGGT